GATCGAAAGGTAAAGACAAAGACTCTCCGTTCAGACCCAAAGTCTGCTGGGACAGAGCAGAGGGGCTGGGGACGCCAGGTAAGACGACCTTTGACCCCTGTGTCCCATCTGGGTCCGGTGCGGCTTGAGCTCAGCTGTGATTGGCTGCTTCCTGCTTGCCTTCCTGTCCTTCCTGCTCTGACCTCCTCGATGTGCGAGCGAATGCTTCAGGTCTACTGTCCTCCCCCGATCATTCCCATGATGCCCTGCAGCAAAACGCGCGTACTAAAACCGGCCTAAACATTCATTCGAGATACTAAACAAAAACAAAGGCTGTTATTGGTGGCGTTTCAATTATAACGTATATAAATAAATAATAATATATTATTTTTTAGTTTACTCAAATTAGTTTTGAAAGCAAATATTTTAAAAGATTCAGATTCAAACATGAATCGTATGCTTCTATAGAATCATGATTTAAAAGCAGCATGATTCACGAGTCTTTTTGACCGAGTCATTAAAAGAATCGGTTCAAATGAGTCATTTGTCAATTTTTCATAGTATTTATTAGCACGTTTTTATATCGTATTATATGTTAACATTGTTATATATTTATAGTCTAAAGTATTTAATATTGTTTTGAATTTAATTGTTAAATTTATTTAATTTTTTGTACTTTTCTAGTCTTAATTAATGTTTTTTATATTGTTTAACATATTAATAACTTGAATTGACTCTGTTCTATTTTTTTTATTTTTTATTGTTTACTATATTATTATTACATATTCATGTTTTCATTTAAATAATATTATATAAATTATTTAATCTGAGTTTTGGTCGATTTGTTTTCCGATTTAGTCTTAGTAATTTTAGTACTTTTTTTAAAACTTAAATAGTAACTTATTTTATTTCACTTCACCATTTCTAAATTTAATTTAAATTTTTCATCGAATATTTCGATTTCATTTTATTTCATTTACTGAAAATGATTTTTAATAATCTTAGTTCAGTACGATTGCTAGCTGTGATTTTCATAATGTTCGTATCTTGCATTGAAGCGTGCGAATGATTCGCTCTCGATCATATATGCGAAAATATCCCATAAATGGATGGAAATTAGCTTCGTTGCAGATTTGCATTGCTTTGTCGCGTCGCTCTTTAGGCTTTTACGTTGACCTGAAGGATTTAGCACGCGTTTTTATTCCAAAAAAAAATTCGTTTTACATGTAGGTTTGTTTAATTTAACCGTACGAATGCTGTTCTTTCAGGAAACCTGGTCTCGGCGATGTACAAGCAGCATGAGGTTCAGAGTTTGGACTGAAGCTGAAGGCCTCTGGCGCCCCCTGTCTGTGTGGATGAATGACGATGCTCTTTTATGGACTCTACGAACTGTACTTGTGTTGCATTTTTACAGAAGGACCTTACATCTCAGTGAAGCCCGTCTAATCAGTTTCCTTGCATAGAGAGAGTGATAGGAAGAGGGAATCATGTATTTTTTATTTAGAGTAGATGGATCCGTGTCTGTGTATAAGCACACATTTGTTTTGAGTTTTGTTTTTTCTGAGACTGGTCGTGTTTTTTTTTTTTTATATGCATATTAAACCAGTTTTGTGTTTTGAGAGTGGTGTGCGTGTGTTAAATGTGTTTTGGTACATTATTTTTTAGAGTTATGAAGGACATCTGTGGAATAAATCAACCGGGTGAGCCTCCATTTTGTTTCCTGCACCGACAGTTTCCGTCCAGCAGGAGGCGCCAGCGGCGCGGGAATGAAAGAGAGCAAGAGAAAGATATTTTTCTGTTATTCGGTTCCATTTTGTGCTTTTCTACTGTTGGATTCCATTTTGTGTTTCTATGTTTTATTCACAAACATCTAAAGAGTCTAAAGACTGAAAGTCCGACGAAAGTAAGTGAGCATCTGAGAAACTCGTTAGAGCTGTTATTAATCAGATTCCATCACAGCAT